TAAATAATACAATTTCTAAAACATTTCAATAGAATACTCTAGAACTTTATTCTGAATTACATTTTTTCAACGGCTTTTCAAACCAAAATGTATCTTGAATATGCCTTGTTCACAGAAAAGTTTCCCCATGGTGACTGTAAGCATTTAGTTGAACTTGTTTTAATTTGGCTAGGCAGTGATAAGCTTGAAAATTTTAAATTTTGTAAACCTATAGCATTTCATCATGAAAGATTTCTATCAAAAGCTATCTGCTACATGATAATAGAACTGCTTACATTTCATTTGCAATAATTTGATATAATTAGTTAAGAAGAAATAGCAACAGTCCATAAAATTGCTGAGTTTACTGGGCTGTTTCATGCAAGATTGTTTCTGAAAGCATGATTACTTTGGTCAAATGTACAATTCATATATGGACAATAAAGACATACAATAAAAAGTGCAATCTTGCCTCGATTTTCTCTTTACACCAGGTATTGGAATGGCTTTCATATTAATGTCCAAAAATGCAACAGAAAAAAACTGATGTTATTGCTGCTACAGTTAAATTCGCCAAAAAGATCAAACCTGAAATTGCTGACACTGCTGAGGATAAATTGATTGCGAGAGAATTTGCTGTGCTGCCTAAGACAAGAAAGGAAAAATTATTCAAGGTAAATGCGCATAATTGTTGAAACATTATCGGTCGCAATAAATATCCTGCTCTTTACGAAATTGCTAAGCCTATTAACAAAATGATCTGCTCATCAGCTACACCAGAAAGAGCTTGGTCGACCTTTTGATTTATTCACTTGCGACTAAGAAATCATCTTACGAATGAGAGAGTTGAAAAGCTGGTATTCTTGTATACCAATAGCATGCTGATGGACTCAAATGACAAGACTGATTACATTCTTGAAGAAGGTGCAATTCTCAATGAAATTGAATGTCAAGAAATTACCCAATAGGGGCCAGCATTATATTTTTTTAATTCTGTAAGAATCTTTGAAAACTCCTATTGTTACTCCTTATTGTTATAAGTTAAAATATTACTTGAAGCATTTTTTAAGTTTAAAACTTTTTTTGTTGATTTCAAAAAATCGTCTCCAAAGCAGTAAATTTTGTTGGCATTGACATCTGCGCAGACAAATTACTCAGTCTGCCCAGATCTGCGCAGACAGTCGGAACCCTAATATATATATATATATATATATATATATATATATATATATATATATATATATATATATATATATATATATATATAAACACTCACACACACACACACACACACACACACACACACACATTAGGGTGTCCCAATTATTAATTTTTTTAAATAATTTTTTTTTAATATTTTTTTTGATAATTTCTAACAACAAAAAGTTTTTTTTAATAATTTTTTTTAATATTTTCTTTGATACTCTCTTATATTATCAACAAGACAAAAATCTTAAAAGTTTTAAAAATGTTGGATCTAATAAAGCAAAATTATATATCAGTTTCCAAAAGTAATCTTTCTATTAAATACATTGAGGAAATTTTTTTTTTTCAATTTTTATGTCAAAATGCATGTTTTAATATTTAGTTTTTAATGTAATATTGTAGGCAGTGAAATTTAAAACATTTTTTTAATAAAATTATTGTTTTTAATTTTTATAAAATTATTATTTAAACTTTTTAATTGCACTAATATTTTATTATATAGAATGCATTCCTTTTACAGTAAATTTAAAATTAGGCTTTAAAAATTTAATTTTCATTTTAAAGAGAATTTATTTTTTGTTAATATTTCATAAAAAATCTTAATGTTTTAAACAATCTAATAAACAATTAAGGGCTTAAAATTAAAAGTTCACGATAAGTCTTAAAGCTTAGATAAAGCTAAATGATAAAATAGTAATATACTTTTGAAAAAGTAAATTTAAATATAATTTTTCAATAACATCTTAAAAGATAGATTGTTTTTATTTAAGTGTGTTTTTTGTTTAAGTGTGAATGTTTTTGTTTAAGGTGTTTGTTCTCATTCTGCTTCAACTGAGTCAATCAGCTCAAAAGCTTGTCAAAAGATTAAAAAGTTGAAAAGTTCTTCAAAAAAGCCAACAGATTTTGATTCAACAGAAATTTCATGCGATAGATCTACTGGTTAGTCATCATTTTGTTTATAAATTAATGAAAAATTATAAAATGTTCTTTATTTTATTTAAATTAAATTGGTTTGTGCGTTAAAGGTCAGTAACAATTATGATTTAATTTATCAAGTAAAACTTATAAAAACTGAGTTGTACCCTACAGTATAGTACTTACACTACTTTTATCAAAGTAACTGGCGATTTTAAAGGAGTAGTTAAAAAAGTTGTTAGTTAATTCAAAAAAATTAGCAACAAAATGGGATAGTCTTTTGATCTTTTATTGTTAAATATGTTTGTTGTTAATGAACTACAAACATATATTAAAAAGAATGAAGTTTAAAAGAGTTAATATAAAGACTAAGTTTAGTTACTTAAAAATAGCTTCTTTTTTTTTCTTTTTCCTGAGATGTTGTTGAAAGGTATCCTTGGTTAAGTTTTTTATCTTTTTCTAATTCTACATTAAAAAAGAAAATTGGAATATGATCCTAATGCAGGTTTTCTTTTTTGCAGACTAAGAGCACGGGCTGTTAACAGTCAATAGAGATAACATTAACTTTAAGGACAATGATAAAGACAATGTACGCAATGCTTAAGTTGAAGTAAGATTAGCCAACAGAATTTGACTTGGCATTGTAAAAAGAACAAAAATTTAAACAATTTTTTGCAAATGGAAGGCAATTTTGGATTGTTTAATATACATGGTTTTTTGATGTTTTATCTATGACCCCCCTCCCCTACATATATATATATATATATATATATATATATATATATATATATATATATATATATATATATATATATATATATATATATATACCCCCAGACACCAAGTATCAGGGCAATTAGTTAATAAAATAGCATCGTTATGCAAAGTGCACAAAACCTAAAATTGTCCTATGTGAACCCTATGAAATTTTGGCGTTAACCTACACTCATTTTTAGTTAATTATATTTTAAATAAACACTATTTAGATGGTTTATTCCTGATTGAAGAAAATAAATAATTTTATAGCAAGTTTAGTTATATTATATTAAACAGTTGTCAAATTTTACCTGCCTTTTATAACCTCTTGGTTGATAAATTAGTTATGAATCCCTCTCTTCCTTTTTTCTACTTAAAATTAGTTTCCTAATTTTTATAATAATATTTTTTACTAAATATTTATTACGAAATTATTCAATAATTCAATATTTTTTTAGAGGTTACACCACCTAATGATTTATAATCTATCCCTTAAGTTTAATTTAATATAATAAACATCTAAGTTTTATTTTAATAAATTATGAATATCCGCAAATTTTCCATTATATTATATTTTTAACAAGTTTCAAGTTTGATGAAACCTTAATTTTTTGATGTTATTTTTGTAAAGAACTCTTTCAAATAGTTTAGTTAAAAAAATTTTCCAAAATTTGTAATAGTTACAAAAATAATACTCCCTCTGTTCCAAAAAAATACTGTTATGATTTGCATTAATTGTAAAAAATTATTTAAAAAAAATTATGTTAAATTATATTAAAAACTTTTTTTGTATAAAATTTACATGTTTTTCTATAATATTATGAACAATTCATAAATTATATTATGAACAATTCATAATATAATATTATGAACAATTCATAATATAATATTATGAGCAATTCATGGCAATAATATTATTTTTTACCACCACCATTTATTTTTAATAAGGATAATATTATGAACAATTCATGGCAATAATATTATTTTTTACCACCACCATTTATTTTTAAAAAGGGTAATATTATGAACAATTCATGGCAATAATATTATCTTTTACCACCGCACCATTAATTTTTAAAAAGGATAATATTATGAACAATTCATGGCAATAATATTATCTTTTACCACCACACCATTTATTTTTAAAAAGGATATTTTTTTTTAATGAAATACTGTTTTAATACCGAAATACTGTTTCGATTTGTTAAAAATAAATTATAAATTTAAATATTTAAGAACATTGTAACATTTTCAGTGGAAAATTTTTTTTTATATATTATGATCTTTTAAAAAATTCTTATTTTGTATTAAATTATTTAATAGTGGTTAAAACTATATAGTTTAAATACTTCATGCTTAGATGACTTTATTGTTTATAGATTGACTTAAATTGCTAGCGCTCTTATTGCTTAATTTTGATCTACAGCATTTCCATTTTATAAAGTCTTTTATTTGTTATATACTTTTAAATTTTTTGTTGGCCAACATGCTAGCCTAATGGAGTGGTTAATTTTATGACCTTATATAGCCCTCTCAATTTGAGGGGGTGTAAACTATATATGGTCATAAAAGCCAAACATCAAGAGAATATCAACTTTGAAATTCGTCAATTAATATAAATTAAATTTAAGATTTAAAAAAAATAAAAATTTGTTATAACATTGCCCTCCTATTTGAACTGGGGGTGACAGTCCTGCTACTCCAATAGGTGACAGTCCTGCTACTCCAATAGGTGACAGTCCTGCTACTCCAATAGGTGCTGCTGTTGAAGCAAAATAAAAGTAAGCCTACAGGTGAAAAAAACTTTAACATTTATTTTAACTATTACAAGTCTTTTTTTGCATATTTATTGCCAGATTTAATAATTTGAAAATATTTTGTGATAAGAGGGGGATTTAAACTCTCACAAAACAGTAGATGATACCAATGACAGCGTATTAAACCACTGATGTATTGAATTTATGCATGTTGCAGTTGCTCTAAATAAGCGCAGTTGCTCTAAATGAGCGCAGCTTTATTGCATAGAAATATAAGTTGCGCTTATATACAAACATATGTTATAAGCATATACAAACATGTGTTATATATAGGGCTGTACCGGATTTAATTTTCCCATATCCGGCCGGAGCCGGATTTGCCGGATTTTTACTAACAGATCCGGCCGGAATCGGAGCCGGAGCCGGATTTTGAAGCAAAACTTCAGGAACCAAAATCCTGTATACCCCTACTTGGTGTTGAAAATGGTCAACAATGTTGACTATTTAGATCACCAAGTGACAGTTCCCGATGGGCATTTCTTTTTAAAAGTTAGGATCTAAATGTATTTTAAATGTCTTTTAAACGTCTTTTAAACATTAATGTTTAAAATACATTCAGGACGTAAGTTTTAAAAACAAATGCCCGTCGGGTTGTTTTCTATTAAACATCATTTTTGTTGTTTAAAAGTTTTATAGCAATTTCTATAGAAATTAATAGACATTTTATATAAATTTTATAGAGTTTCTATAGGCCATATGTTTCAAAAATTTAGAGAAATTCTACAGAACTTTTTTTCCCGGGAAGATGTCACTCCGCCACTGTAGTGAATCAGCGTGTCTATATATTTCTGATTTTTCCAGATATTGGCTTAGCTGAGTGTCAATGCCTGTTGGTAATTGTTGTTCATGTGTTGTGCCACAAGCGGGCGTAGACTGAATAATTTCATCTATATATATTGCCATTGTAATGATGATAATGTATAAGAATTATCCAGCCGGGATTGTTTTGCTGGATTTTCTTTTTTTTTTTTCAATCTAAAAAGGTTTCTCCTCAATGCCTTTGAAACGCTCATCTAATGAGTTGATTAGGATTGACTTCATAGTCTTTACACCTGCATTATTGCAGAATATCGTGTGTCTTCTCTTCAGAATTTTTTGTTGCGTTTTTGTTTGAAATTAGCCTTAGCTAATTAAATTGTAAAAAAATGTAAATACAGATACCAAAACAAACATGAAGTTCAAAAATTAAGTATTATGTATACGTGTTATCACGGGTAAGAAAGATGTAATAAACATCCAGAAATCCGGCCAAAATTATGTCGGATTTGCTAACATTTTGCCGGAACCGGATTTGGTTCTTTTTAATTTAAATATTATTATATAACACAATATTTTAAAACCTATTTATATTATGTAATATGATTAAACTATATAAAATAATTAAATTATATAATAAAGTAATAACAATTAAAGTAACAATTAACCAAAAAATTAACTGCAAGTATCTACTATAACTTATAACTTAATAATATTTTCAAAAGGCTTCTGGTTTTTACCAATACTTAGTTTATTTTACTGGTTTGTAGCAATTTTATATATATACATATATATATATATATATATATATATATATATATATATATATATATATATATATATATATATATATATATATATATATATGTATATATATATAAAATTGCTACAAACCAGTAAAATAAACTAAGTATTGGTAAAAACCAGAAGCCTTTTGAAAATATTATTAAGTTATAAGTTATAGTATACTTAGTTTATTTTACTGGTTTGTAGCAATTTTATATATATATACATATATATATATATATATATATATATATATATATATATATATATATATATATATATATATATATATATATATATATATATATATATATATATATATATATATATATGTATATATATATAAAATTGCTACAAACCAGTAAAATAAACTAAGTATTGGTAAAAACCAGAAGCCTTTTGAAAATATTATTAAGTTATAAGTTATAGTAGATACTTGCAGTTAATTTTTTGGTTAATTGTTACTTTAATTGTTATTACTTTATTATATAATTTAATTATTTTATATAGTTTAATCATATTACATAATATAAATAGGTTTTAAAATATTGTGTTATATAATAATATTTATATTATAAATTTGTGTATTATGCAATATATTAAAATTTATACTTGTGTTACATAATCATATATACTAAATAACAAAATGTAATATAAATGTATTATATAAGTATGCTTTTTAATCAAGGTAAAAGTTAAATAAACAACATAAAGTTTGACATATGTCTAATTTTGCAGTAACACACTTTGATGCTCATCATAAATGCTGCTGTATATGCTATCAAAAAGCAGACAGAACACTTTCAGATACAGCTTTGATACTCATTAAAACATTGGTTTTACCAAACTATAGCATTGATAATCCATCCCATGCGACTGTAATATGCAACATCTGTAACAGAGATTGAT